AAAGGAYGAAGAAACAAGAGATGGTTTATACAATTGTTTTTGCAAAAATTTTGGAGATTTCTTCTCAAATCAAAGGTGGTTTCAATATAAAACTTCACATACCAAAATACTGATCCTCCCTCCAAGAATAGGACTTGCAAGTCTCAATCAACTTAGGCTGTCCTAAATATCCTGCCYCCCCTTTCCTGTTATAATTTGGGTTTCACCATACAACAAATATAATTGATCCAGGAAGCCTCAACATGAAAGCAAGCTGCAATGTAACGTCATGCTTTGGGAAGCCAAGAACTGACTAATCATCACAGCCTCAAAAAAAAAAAAAAAAAAAAAGGAAAACACACACAATTACATCAACCGAAGGAGTGACGTGTACAAGAAAATTTGTTCGGTGATGAACACAAGTCCAAAGCGCTGTAGGCTTGGCCGAAGAAACATATAAAAGGGGTCACAATCCTTGACTCTCCATCCGCATCGAAGGACTCGAGTTCTCACTGAGCTTGGTAAGTCAGACCAGCTACGCGGTGGCCACTTGGCTCTTGCTCTATTGCTATCAGACAGTATAAGGGTGTTAGGAGTGAAGGCTGTGGCTTTCTGTTAGAAATGGAATATTAGAACATCCACGTAAGCTTTGAGAATGGTTGCATCTAGCTCTTAGCTGGAAGAATACAAGGAGCGTTTTATCTTCTTATTGTCAAGGCTGTCTACAGTCTTGTAGGGGTCTTCATTGAGAAGCGGGCAACCAATTGCATTATTTCAGACAAAAACAGGCTGCTAATAGATTGCTCCCCATCTGCTCTGGTGTGTCTTAGATGTTTAGTTGGTAATTAAGGCATGAAGGTGGTTCCCAGTGGACAAACTTACAGCTTTCAGAATTTAGCCATCCTCTGTCGCGTTGCCCCTGCTCCCCAGTACATCTCCTGCCAGCGTCATCTCATCATGTTCACACAGTAACTGGTGTCTCTCCACTCATCGGCTTTAGGGAAGTCCCAGGTACTAATGCAGGGGACACCAGGTACCTCCTTGCTAGGAGCCTAACCATAACAAAGGCCAAAGCCAGGCTGCAAATTCCAGGCAGCAGCAGCAAGGAAAGAAATATGAAGTATTATTAGGGAAAAAGTAAGAGAAGCAGGGGGGAAACACAGAAAGGAGTAAGCTGGGGCAGAAGATCAGAGAGACCATTTAAAAATGAGGAGCTGGTCCGTTCCTGCTGCCTCTTTTCCTTGCATGGCATTTGCAAAGTGGAGCAAGCTGCAACTCAGGCTCTTGGGCACATCTAATCCTCTCCCTGCTGCTGTGTTTCAGGCTCACCCCATCTGCAAGATGACTTACTACTACCAGAACCAGTGCGAGGACTCCTGCTACTCGCCCTGTAACTATGGGAGGGTTTACAGCTACCAGAGCTATGACTGCAGCAGCCCCTGCACCTACCAGAGCTACGATTGTGGCAGCCCCTGCACCTACCGGAGCTATGATTGTGGCAGCCCCTGCACCTACCGGAGCTATGAGTGCAGCAGCCCCTGCACCTACCGGAGCTATGAGTGCAGCAGCCCCTGCACCTACCGGAGCTACCGGAGCTACGACTGCAGCAGCCCCTGCACCTACCGGAGCCAGCTGGGCGTCCGTGGCCTCTACAGCTTGGGCAACGTCTGCAGCTCCCGCTGCTACTACCCCTACTCTTCGCGCTCCACCCGCCGATACAGCTATGGTGGTTGCTACTCCTGCTAAACGCAGCCTGACGCGTAGGAAGTCGGAGGAGAGGGCGCAGTTTAYGGCTCCTTGTGCAAGCCATGCCCTTGCTAAGCTGCCACAACTGCTCCACTTCTTCACGCCTCAGCCGAACGTCTCGGTCTGCGGCTGCATCCAATAATCTTCTTTCATGCATTACCTCTGAAATGTAGTAATCCTTCATAGTTCCTTGTTTACACAGTGTAGAAACCTCTGCATACTCCTCCTGCATCTCACTGCTGTATACTAYGCTTCTTAGCTTCATTAAAAGATCTAGCATACTACTGCTTCTGGTTCTGCTTTTTTTTTTTCCCCTCCCTCTTGTGTTTGATATTGCTAATAATTTCCCCAAGGTGCAATGACCAGGAGCTACTCGATTCTCAGGTCTGTGGTTTTAAGTGCCCTGTGAAGTGCAAGGTTGCTAWGGATACAAGTAATGCCTCAACCTCCATCTCCTTCCACCGTCAGGGTCACCTTAGCTCTGCCCTTCTTTCACCAAACGCAGGCAATACACTGAAAGTGTTAGCTGAGAGATGTGTAGATTGAAGAAAAAAAGAAAAAACAGCATTTGCTGATGACTCCACCCCAAGTTATGCTACATTTGAGGATCTAAGATGTGCACAGAGCAACACACAGAATGCCAGACTTGCTCAGCATTCCTGTGGCTCTGAATGAGGTATCGGTATCTCGGTATCGGTATCGGAAGCTTAAACATGGCCTTTTCTTCCCCAGAGATCACCCAGCATAGGCAATGCTCTGTGCAAGACCAGAGCTCCGTCCTGCCCCTCTCCTCTCCTGCCAGTGCTGCTGTTCAGGAGAGCAGTTCCCAGGCCCAGTCACACACATGAGGTGACTTGCAGGCGAAGAGAAGGCAGCTATGATGGGAAGCGCTAATTACACCCCCCGTAATTAGCAGAAGGGAGGGAGAAGGGCAGAAGTAAAAGTGATTGACAGCTTAATGACTAAGGAATGAGCCTCCCAGGTTGGTCCCCAGGCTGTAGCCATCCATAGCCACGAGAGAAGCTTTCTAATAGAAGACATCATTCCTCCAGATCCACAGGGATCCAAGTCTCCAGCAAACAGACAGCAAGCAGAATTATAGACGTGGGTGCAGACATCTCCTCGCTGGTGAGGCTCCCAGGTGAGGGTTCGCTGGAGGGCTTCTTGTCTCATCATGTAAGCACCAGGTGCAACACGCTGCGGGGAGGAAGCAAAGTTCATCTGCATTCACATCCAGATAAAATTGGATCCCAGGAATGATACCAATCCTAGACACTAAGTCAGCAGGTTATTCAGGAGGCAGAGGAGATCAGCAAGGAACATGGAGAGAACAGAGAAAAGACGCTGGCAAGCCCTCAGGGAACTGCCGGAGRGGCTCCATTTGGGTCGAACCATTCCCAAATCAGCATCCATGGAGCACTAGTTCATATTGGCACACACCTGACCAAGGCAGCAGCTGCTGATGGTAAAGGACTCCAGACAGACTCCACCAAAGGCTTTTCATGTGCTCAGTTATTATGATAAAATCACATCAGATGTAACAGTCTGCAATGCAAATCAAGGCAACTCATCGCTCTCAGCTGATTGTGATCCACAGATGGATCAAGCATCTTTGAYTTTCATGTCAAAGTAGCTGCATCTTGTGCATTGGTTTGATTTTTAAGAGAAACCACTAGTTGATGTAAGAGATCCTGTATTCCAGTGTAACAAGAAGAAAATGTGAGAAGAAAACGGTTTCTCTTTCAGATAAGTTTTGTGGATTTAGAGGTACACACACTGGTAAGATGATGCTCCCAAAGGCCTGCTGCTGGTTTTCATGGATCGATATGCATTTGAGACATCAAAATATTCTCTTAATCCTTATCAGCTGGGTAACTTAGAAATATCTTGTAGACATGTCAAATTTGCAGGACAATTAATGGCCATTTCATTATTCTTCARCTTTTCAGGAGGCAGCTGTGTTTGGAAACCCTTCAAAAGCGACTTCGGCGTCACCTGGAGATCCTAACCTCCTTACTCAAGCAAAGAGTAAGAAAAGTAAATTTTTTTGTATGTGTCACAACTTCAATTAATGTAATTAGTTTCCTTAGATCTGGGAGCATTGGTCTGGTCCCAGCTCATGACAGCATGAAGGTTACAGGCTTAGACTTTGAGTATTTTCTTTTTAGGTTAGTTCACTAAAGAACAACTGTGACATTTATAAAGTCAGCATTTGCTGTGAGACGTATTACACACATTTTGTATTCTCAGTTTGTCAGCCCCGTCTAGCAGAGGTTTCACTGACGAAGCAGATTGCAACGCATGACGTCTGGGACCTTTATTTTCTCGCTCAAGAAATAGCTCCTTGTGTGACCTTCACTGCAATGAGCCATCCCTTATTTGCATGTGAAATGAGGATAATAACAGGCATTTTGGAAGTGCTGAGTCTCATCAGGATTTATGGTATCAATGCTCCTCCAAAACACTCATTAAAGACTTTTGCAATGTTTGTATTATTTAAAWATTAATGGTTTGTTACTGAAAGATTCCTTAATGCTGTATAACAGACACAACGGGGAAGGGAATCCCTAAGCACAGCTACATTTCCTTATTAAAATTAGGGCACTGGAGTTAGTCCTTCTCGCATGGACTGGTGTAGAGATAGAGCAGTATTGTGCCAGATAACCAGATCAGAGATCTTCCCATGCTYGACCTTCACTACTAGACCCTGCAGACGGACTTGCTCCAGTCACAGCTCTGGTGTCATTGGACRCCAATTTGACCACTCTATGTGGTGCTATTTGCTTCCAAGGTATTTGGAAAACAGAAGTGAGAAAAAAAAAAAGAAAGAAATATTGTATAGATGCAGTGTRACTTTTAATAAGAATGAAACACAAATGCAAAAACCCAGACGCATACAGAAGAGAAAGGCTACATTCCCCAAGACGCATTAAAGGCTTCCCACAACTTTCATTCAGGGCTGATACGCTTTGCACATCATCTGCAGCGAACGCCAGAGCCAGGGGCTCCCACAGCGCTTCCAGAGCGTTTACAAGGACCAGCGTTGGGCAACAGCAAGATTTTCCTTTTAGCAACAGATCRGGAGGAGGAGACAGGAGAGCAAACAGATCTAAAGCAGCAGCAGCTTTTCCAGAGCACCGAGCGCTCGGTGCTGCCAGGGACGGGCGGCCACCGCGGAGGCTCTGCACGCCGTGGAAAGCTGCCGCTCAGCGGGGCCATCAATCCGTGCCTGCCGGTCCGGGTCGTTGCTCGCCTCCAGGGTGATCCCGCAGGGCTTAGCAGGGATAGCAGTTCCCATAGGAGAACCTCTGGCCATACCGYGAAGAGAAGGGGTAGGAGAAGCGGCTGCTGTACAAGCCTCCGTAGCCGTAGCAGTCTCCAGAGCCATAGAAGCCCCTATGGCCCCCATAGAGGCCCCCATAGCCATAGCAGTCGCCAGAGCCGTAATAGCCCCGGTAGCCGAACCGGTCGCCCAGGCCATAGAGCCCCCGGGAGCTGTAGAGCCCCCCGAAGCTCCGGTAGCCGCAGGGGCTGCCGCAGTCATAGCCCCGGTAGCCATAGAGGTTCCCGTAGCTGTAGGGATAGTAGCAGTCATCCTCACACTGGCCTTGGAAGAAAGTCATCTTGCTGMGATGGAGGCAAACCTGAAATACAGCAGCAGGGAGGAATGCAAGACAATAAGTAATTCCAGCTCAGGAATGGCATCAAACAGTGTTCTACTGGTCCTGAGGGACCAAGGAAGGAGGAGAAATTAGGACCAGATTCCTCAGATTTTGACTTCACTTGCCTTTTTCCTTTGCCCATTGTCCTCCTCTAGCCTGTCTTATTCATCTGCTTTTTAACTGATTCCATGTCCTTTCCTGCTTGCTGAAATTCAGGACTGGGGGATTTTCCTGTTACAGACTGCACTTCCTTGCTGCTGTTTCAGATAATTTCTTCAGGAATACGGTAAAGAGGTAATAAACCAAAATGTCTTTCAGGATACTGGATGTGCATGAAAGCCACTAAACACAATTCACTAGATTAGTAATCAAGTCACTACATTGCAGGCTCCGCTTTTGCAAATCCTGTGTGTCTTCCAGAAAATTAAAAGCAAATAGTTGCACTGAAATTCCAGGATCTCAAGTCGCTGTTGTGCTCTGGAACCTGCATCTAAAATGCCACCTGCACACCCCAAAAGCCACCCACCCCTAGCACAGATGAGAATCTCAGTCCCTTTGATCTACCCTGCAGCAGAGCCAAGGGCCTCCTTTGAGATGAAACACCAGGAGTGAGGAAGAAGCCGGTGAGGAGCACCAGAGGTCTGCAAATCCAGGCGATGGCARGGAGCCTCCACTGGGAACCCAAGTACCAACGTTTCAGCCTCAGCTTTCCCAGAATCTCAGAATGATTGAGGTCAGAAGGGACCTCTAGAGATCACCTAGTCCAGTTCCCTTCATCTCCCCATTTCTGCAGCTGAGCAAGGATAGATAGGAGGTAGAGGGGAACCTTCCAACTATAAAGAGCTGCAACCCTAACAACCACTAAGCCAACATTTCTAATCCTTAGGAAGAGATTAAATTGAAAGCAGACTCACCTAGTTCACCAAGAGGAGGAAAGGTAAGAGAGCTGATGGAGAACTCAGAGCTCAGAGCCCTTTTTATACCGTTTCTTGCCTGCCTGGCTTATCTAAGACGCCCTCTGTACTCACAGGGTGCGCARTCTTATTGGACAGAAAAAAAAATTTGCTTGCACACGTCATATCTTCAATTAATATAATTTCCTTCTTTGTTTGGGATTATTAGTTTGTTCTCTGCCTCCCATATGTCACACACATCACAGGTTTCTTTCATCTTAACGTTTTCTGGGCCAACTGCATTCCTGATACCATTTTATTGTTTTCACTTGCAAAACAATATGTGCAACTTGAAGGCATTTCCAAGTTCCCAAAGTCAAAGGAAGGACAAACAGAGAGACATCTTCAGTAAAAAGTCAAACCTCCTCATGTTTTGAGATATCTCCATTGTTCATCACAAAATAATGCACTATGTTACAGGCTTCCRTTTAAAAGAAATGTAAGCTTGTGTCAAGAATTTTAGACTAGGTTTCACAGCAACTTCATAGCAAACACGACTGGCACGATCTTYTTAAGAATAAATATTAATTGAATTCCTCTTGATTGTTCATAGTGAATAAAAGCCATGCCGCTGTGTGAGCACAAGAAGAGTTTTCAAGGAAGATCTAATTACAGCATCTCTTGCACTTCAGTTTGTTGGAGGGTCTGATCATGAGCTTGGCAGAATAGTGGAGAAAACCAGAATGAATTTGGTCCTGAAAAACTAGATGGTAAAGTGTGGGGGAGATGTGCTAAATTCTATTTTCCAAGGCAATCACGTTAGTATTTCCTTAGCAAAGAAGCAGTCTCGTGTCTCAAATTGGGTGCAACAGGCAGGACGCCAGGAGTTTGCTCAAGAACTCCTTGTATGACCTTCACCTAATTTTCAGCATTAATTTGAATATAAAATAAGGATAATAATGAGCAAGCAGGATGTTGAGGCTTCCTCAGAATTTTGAATACCAAAGCACTTCATAAACACTCATTAATGTTTTCAATTTGCAAAGTGTTGCAGTATTTAAATATTAATAGTTTGTCACTGTAAGACACCCCCAGATTTAATAATATGGTCACTTAAAACACACATCAAGGTCTTTCATTGCTAAGTCCTTTTAAAGTGGTGCATTATATGTTTACGAAAGCAAAAATCCAAAAAACAGAAAAAATAATCCTTCATATTAAGAATTGAAAAATTTCTTCAAAATCAGTGGTACCAAGTCTAAAACAAAACTAAATGAAGCTGCTGTCAAGAGCTTTGCCCCGTATTGCAGGGCACTGCAGAAAAATCATGGTAWTGCTGCAAGCAGTCCTACCACCAAACACCTCAAAACCAAAATAATGAATAAATACTCCATGGACACAAGAAGCAAGGGGATGCAGTACGTACAGGCAACCAGCAACGGTCTAAACATCTCCCAGAAGAATTCCCATCCCTCTGACCACAAAGAATTCCCTGCAATTTTGTTAGAAATGTGCTGAGCCCATTTCTTCTTATTTTAAAAAGATGGAAATTTTAAAGCCATTATATGTGTGTCACAACATCAAACTTATGAAAATATGAAAATCACTGCCTCCAATTATGTCATTTGAAGGAATAATATATGCAGCAAGATTGGTGGTATAACTACCCCCATAAGTTGGAAAACGTATATATAGGCACCCTCGACCCAGGAGTTTTATCCCATCCTCTTGAGCTACTCTCCTCAGTGAAGCAGGTAAGTCCYTACTGACCATTCTACTCTCTGATACTTATTTGGTGCACGTGTGTATGTCTGGAAGTTTGGGTCTGTATGTATACATGTATAGATATGGATATAACTCTTTGGTGTATACATATACTCGGCATACTTGGCGTTTATACAATATATACATGCACACCTATGCATGGATATCCTGCAACTCACTTTTATCATTTGGGGATTCAGGAGACTACCGMTAAATAGGCCAGGGGAGCAGGTGGATGGGGAGGTGGGGAGGAGGAAGGGGATGGCAGCGGTACCTCCTCGGTTCGGCAACCCGTGCTCACCCGTCCCGGTGMCTTGCAGGTTCACTCACTTGCGGCACAGCACCATGGTGTTCAACAGGGAGCAGCGCTATGATGTGCACGACTCTCCGTGCCACTACGCGGACCTGGATGGTGTCAGAGGCCTGAACAGCCACCAGGAGCTGCACCGATTCGGGAGCCCGTACTTCTACCATGACCTGCACGGATTCAGGAGCCTGGATGGCCGTGGCCGTGACCTGCACCGATTTGAGAACCTGGATGTCCATAGCCGTGACCTGCACCGATTTGAGAGCCTGGATGGCCGTGGCCATGACCTGCACCGATTTGAGAGCCTAGATGGCCATGGCCGTGACCTGCACCGATTTGAGAACCTGGATGGTCGTGGCCGTGACCTGCACCGATTTGAGAGCCCGGTCAACTGCAGCTGGGACCTGCACCAACTCGAAAACCCAATCAGCTACAACTGGGACCTGTACCAGTTTGGGAGTCCAGCCAGCTACAACTGGGACCTGCACCAGTTTGGGAGTCCAGCCAGCTACAACTGGGACCTGTACCAGTTTGGGAGCCCGGCCAGCTACAGCTGGGACCTGCATCAGTTCAGGAGGCCGGCCAACTATGGCTGGGACCTGGACCGATTCAGGAACGCATCCAGTCACAGAAGCTTTGAGAACCTGCATGAGAACCGAGGCTGGTCCGGTTACAGGGACCACTCCTGGGGCCACAGGGATGTGCAGCACTATGACTTCCCCTTCTCTGCTCGCTTCGGCACCAGATCCGCTCACAGAAATAGGCGCCACTGGTGAACCAGCGGCTGCGACGGCTCAGACGGAATGGCAGGACCACGACCACGGCTCACGAGATGTGCGGGGCACCCAGGCCTCCAGCTGGCACAGTGGGACCTGGGGGCACGCAGCTGCATGCGACCCCCCCTGTAACCTCTCCAACGCTTCTCAGGCCTTCCTCCTTCTGCTCCAAAGGGCACCTTGAATTACAGCAAGCTCCCAGGCATCTTCATAGCATGCTCACGGGATGAAGCAGGACTTCCAGGAATGTCTAAAACATATTTTAAATTAATTTGCAGCCACCCTGTATTGCTAGAGTAATAAGAGTTATGTTGATTATCAGACCTGCTTTCTGCAGCTGTCATGAATAAAGTCCCTTCTGCCTAGCTACAAACTTCGCCAAAGATGACACATATTGGAGAAGCTCCTGCTGCATCTGCCATGCTGGGCCTCTTGTGACAGCAAGACGGATCTACAAGCAACTTGGTGAACAAGAATACACTCGGACCGTCAAACTCCTCGGCTCCTACGAGGAGAGAGCATCGGCTGGCACCAACTCTCTGCTTGCTGAGGGCCCTTCTGTAAAGCTGGGAACACTCTCTATAACTGCTTGTTCTGTTCTTTATTTCCATTAAAATGATTCTGAGCAATATCAACCATTCAGTCTCGTCTTTGCTTATACACGGGGAGGGAGCAGCAGTCGCCCCTTCATAACCAGTCCTATGGCTAAGGTTGTCCAAAGCCCAGCCAAGGTTGTCCAAACCCCAGGTGTGAGAGAGCATCATCACCTGGCGTTCTCCAGCCCCCAACCTCTTCCTGAGCAGGGAGAGTAAATTCTACCTTATTCTAACTAACACATGATCCTGTTTTCAAGCAATATTTCTGGAAAGGGGATGAGCTGCCGCTTGCACCACTGAACACACACACGYTCCTGGATCAAGCCAACCATCTCTTGCATTTGAAGGTTATTGAAAAAAAAAAAMCCTCAAAAGCAAGAGGTTGTTGAGCAGGAGCTAAGACCTGGTGGCCAAGGAAAGACAGACAAGCTGCTCATGGGGTCAGAAAGGTGCCTGAGAGGAAAGAGCACCGGCAAAGCAGCCTTGAGCCTTGCTGGCGATGGAGCTGAGCAGCCAGGTTAGTCAGGCTGTTCCCGTCAGCCTGAGCCACGTTACCTGGGGAGACAAAGCAGCCTGGATTCAGATTTACAATATTAAAGATTACAATCTTGCACAAAACCAGGCGGTTCAGCAGGCACAGCTGAGACAGAACTGCATTGACCCCATGCAAACGCACTCAGACATCAAAGCCAGGCCCGCAAGTCAAAACTGTGCTGCAGGAGACGCGTCTGCGGCCGGGACCACCGGGCTGGCGGGGACGGCTCAGCAGGGCCAGCGCTCCCAGCAGACGGCCGAGACGGCGGGATTGCTCCTCACGGATCTCCCGCAGCAACGCTCGGTGCCCCAGTTTGGAGCAGGAGGCGGGTGGGGACAGCGGGGTAGGAGAGGAAGGGTGGCAGCCACCTCCCAAGCCTGGCAGCAAGGCACGTCAGCGGCGCGTGCAGCCCTCGGGAAGCGGCGCTGCTCTTAACACCTACGGGCTAATCCCTCTGCTAGCTGCAGTCAGCAGCCAGCAGGGTTGGGTCCCCCGGGAGAATATCTGGGAACGGCTCCCATCCCAGCAAACACAGCTCATCATCTCGGGCGCTTTCCTGCGCGGTGGTTTCCCCGCCTGCACCAGCGAGGCAGGAGGGCTAGGCGCACGCTGACAGGCGTGGAGCTGCAGAATGGGACCAAGCCCAAGGAAAGCCAAAGATTTGAGGAGAAGTCTCGATCCTGCTGGGGTCCTTCAGCCACCCTGACCACCAGTCCCTCTTCACAGGTGCCTCTCGTTGTGTTTCTGCTCCCTTCCTCGCGCTCYGCTCAGCGCGGTGCCGGAGGCTCCGTCACTCCTAACAGCAGYTGCGATGACTCCCGACTGCCCAGGAACGTGGCCCAAGGCCACGAGCTGCGACTGCCCCAGCCGTCCAGGCCCCCGGGCCTGGTACCAGGTCTCCTTGCAGCCCTGGCGCCACTGGGGATACCTCGACTGCAGCTGCACCTCCCAGACCCTCCAACCCACCTCCCAGCCCCAGGAATGCCGGTAGCGCCCACTCGGCAGCCAGGTGGGCAGCAAATCCCTCATCCTCCAAGATCTCCCTGCAGGACATGGCCAGGTTATTGAGCCAACAGGAAATTCCCTCCTGTAAATGCATTCAGGCTGCCAATTGCCAGCTCCAAGAGGGCTGCGCTTCCCTGGAACATGGGAAAAATCCCGAGCCCAACGTGCCACATGAGCCACCTGCAGCACCGAGAGTCATTGCAGCAGCGGGAATTACCTTTAAATGTGCAAGCTCATCCCAGATGAGAAACTGGGCTCCTGGCCCCTTCGGACCACTTCCCAGGGAGTGCAACTCTGCAGCAAGGTCTTTTAAAGGCGAGGGAAGTGGCCCGTGTCTAAGGGGAGCAATAAGGACTTTAGGGAAGGGACAAGGCGATTGCATACTCCAAAGTTCAGCCTTTTGAAATGAGGAATATTCTCATCCCATCAGGCAACATGAAACACTTTTCAGTATCTTTTTAATGTTTGAAGTGGATTTCTATCTTAAAGAGATGCTTTCTTCTTAGTAAGAAATATTCTCTTACTCTCCGCAAACGTCAGAACTCCTCACGCAAATATTTTGCYATACACAAATGGGGAAAGGGCACATTACCAGCACAGGTGCATAGAAAAATCACTGGCAAAACTTCCCCCTTCTGCCAGCACTTGGTGTTTTGTGGTAAACACAAGTCTCAACTTATTACGCTGAAAGAGCAACCTTAGAGCTCTCGCTAATAAACTTTACTTGATTTCCAAATATGCCATTAGCATAACAATGCTAAAGATTCCTTCATCTGGTTTTTGAGGTTTAGGGAATTTCTCTTTTGGGCGGGAGGATCCATGTGGTTGGCGAGAATCTGGTTTAATCACCTTCTCATCCAAGCTCACCAACAGCCAATTACCCACTATTACAAAGTACATTCGTTTTGTTTGCCTTGCATACAAGAATACCAATTTTCAAGGAGGGACCAGTATGAAAGAATCCAGAACTGCCACRGTGTTTTGCCAGACTGTAGCCCCATATTTCTGCTGCAAACTAATAGTTCTATAGCATTTCAAGCACAGGCAGCAGCACTGACAGCCTGGGAGGGTTTATCGTATGTATTTCTGCAGTTCCAAACTGTACAGCTGAATAGCATTATTCATTCTGCTGTGCACATGAAAAAAATACAACATTTTGGAAGAGTAAAGATGGAAAATCAGTTACCTTTTGGTAACACGGACTCCTCACTATCTGCACTGACACATTTTATTGCCATCTAGACAGGCTAGCCCCGAGGGCAGCACCTCATGAAGGCGTTTGTGTGCCAGATCTCTCCAAAGATCATGCTCCCGAAGCAGAGCGATAGCATCAGCCTGGTGCAACAGGACAAAAGCACCTGGAACAGGAGGAACAGACATGCACGGAGGCCAATAACATGTTGCAAGGTCCTRTTTAATGAGGAAGCAGATCACAGAGGGGTGGAATTACATGGTGCAGATTACAAATGGGCTGCAGCCTGTGATTTGATTCGAAGTGATTCATGTAATAGCTGGGGCTGTTTCACTCTTGCAGCTCGGCGTGGACACACAGCCCTCATCACAGCAGGAAAAGCAGAGCAAAGCACAGCCTGGTCTCATGCTAAGACTTTTATATCTTGTTATCCACAGAAAGAGCCTACAAAAGGAATGCGTAATGGATGTCAACCTGGCCCTTTTATATTGGGAGGCTTTTAGGTATCACGACAAAGAATTACAATTTAGTCCATAGCATTAAGAACAGAGCACTTAAAGATGGGAAAGTATTAGGAAACTCCTAAAGGATAATACGGGAAGAATATAAATGAATACTTTTTTCAGAAGCTGYAAGTATTTCCAGGTACTTCATCACTGCAGTCCTGCATGCTGAGCCCTTCTAATGCATCCCAGCCATGTTTCTACACCTGCTTTTCACTCCCTGCACATTCCTCTTGGTTCTGGAAGATTTAGCACGGTCTGCAGCTCCCCACTGGGTATCCTCGTCCCCACTGGGCACCACCATAAACACGGGAGCCCCCGGGAACACCGGCACTAGCAGGGCCRCTTCCAACTTCGGGGACTCCCTCAGAGCCCACCACGCTCTGCTGCGGGAAGGTGGTGAGGATGGGTCCGGGAATCGTCACCACCACGGGCGGCGGGTAGATGACCACGCGGGAGTCGGGACACTGCTGGACGCAGGGCTCGTTGGAGCTGCTGGCGAGCGGCTGCGGCGCGGCCACCCCACACGGCGCGGCCGAGCCGGCGGTGCACGGGCTTAAGGAGCAGGACATGCTTCAGGGATGGTCAACCTGCAGCACAAAGGCATGGGGTAAACGTGAGGCAAATTCCTACAAGTTTAAGGATCAGGCACCAAAATACGAGTCAAAGAAAGACTAGAGGGGAAGAAGATTTCAGAGGCAGGTTCTCAGAAAGCTATACATATGGAAATGAGTCCTCATGGAAAAGCAGTAGGAGCTCAGACATCTTCAGAAGACTCAGACAACTTCCGAGGCCAGTGTTTACCAGAGCCAATAGTTAACTCCCCCCGGAAATTATGAATTTTCAACACGAAAAATCTTCAATTGACTGTGGTGTCACACACTACTTGCACAGGATTCACTCTGATTTAAAACCATCAGCGCATGCACAGCTAGAAAGAGAAATTCAGATCAAACTTACCTAATTCGCAAAAGAAGWAAGACCAGAGAATGGTCGGGCAAGACCAGAGGCCGAGGTTTTATACCTTTTTTGAGACCGCCTAGAGCCTGAGTCATCTAGGCACTAGGACCTCATCAGATACTAAATGCATTTCTTTAAAGGCTTAGCTTTACTAATGAGTGTCAATTGGTTTTAATAAATCACRTTGTAATTATTGGTCTGTCCATCCCCCTGCATGACTTTGAGTTTTATTCTCTCCCAATCCCTGCTATTTCCAAGTTTTATAGAGGGCAGAGGCTGCCTGGACACGCAGAGGGCACATTGCTAGGGAACGTGCCCAAGATCTCCCCTGCCAATGGACCTGTACATGCTGGAAACAAGACCTTACTCGGAAGTAAATCCTTATCTAAGCAAGTCAGTGCAGCTCTTCTCACTGGACACCAAGCTTGTGCATCTTAAAATATGCAAATCTTAACAACAAAAAGGAGAAAAGGGGTTTACAGGACATTAGAGCCCCATATTCTAACGCTTGGAATCTGACCTTATTAAAGAAATGACCAAAGAGCACRGCCAAGGGTGGATTTTACAAGACCTTGTCCAACATTTTCAAGTGAGTCGCTTGTCCAATCAAAGGGCACCTAAATCCCCTATAATAACAAGCCCATACATTACACATATAGAGCAGTAAGGAGTGGAAGGCGTATTTTGAAATCCCAGTTGCTGATGAATCGCAGTCCGCCAGGGGAGGTTGTTGCTGCTCTTCCACACGGCAGCATTATGGACACAGGGCAAGGAGGAGGCCCCACTGACACTTGGCTGCGGATTCCATGGCAGAAGCCAAGGGGAGAGATGATTCATGCCCTCAGCAGACCCCCACGCCACCCAGCTCTGGGCCATGGGGCATTTACAACCCTTTGGCTTTCCCTGTTGCTTCACTTCGGATTAAAGAGCTGCTTTTGCTCCATCTGGTGCAGGGCAGAGGGCTTGGGGGGCTGTTGCATTACAGGATGTCACCTTAGAGTCTTYTCCTTACCCTGGTTCACCCCAGCAGCAATCTCCCCTCCCACATACCACAAGACCAGCAACAGAAAGCTTCAGAAGACAAGGAGGCCCCATTGCATCACACGCTGCTCTGAAACAGAACCACCAAGGTTTTTGACACAATGGGAATTAAATTGTAGGAAGACATCCAAGCTAACTGCACTCCAAGATTTATCTTCCTCCCCGCATCATTACGACATTAAGATACTTGTCGTTCCTTTGGGAAAAATGGCTATGTGTTTTTATAACAGAGGATAATGGTGCGAGTTGCAACATGGGTCTATCTTGGTTTAGATCGGATAGGGATTATCCCTCAAGTCATTCCTCAAAAACAATGGAATTATTAAAAACAATTATTTTAATGTTAGTTAATTGGAGATAAAAAAAAACAAATATTTAAGTCTGATTTAACAAAACAGATTAATAATCTGTTGTCCTCAAAGATCAAGAGGAATCCATACTGCTGGAATTTGCTTCCGTCTCCACTGTTGACTGCCTGGGGCTAAAAATCACCACAGAGTCCATTTACCTGAACATAAAGGCTAACAACACTCATGTTAGGCAAGTGGATGCCTTCTGAAGGCCTTTGCAAAGTAAGCTGTGAACACTCACTCATGTTCAACACAACTGAGGTTGCCACACGGATGTTTAACAAGAGCTTAACAAGAGCACTACAACGCCCAGCCCAAGCCCTGCTGCAGGAGGCATGGAAAGAAGTGATGATTCAACTGGTGAACTGCAGCCAAAACTCACTGCTGAGAGAGCATGTCCACAAGGACACAATACAGCAAAGAGCATCCAGRTGCCAGTGCAATTTACCAGTTTCAACAGAACTCCATGTCTTAGAAAATATGAGGCATTAATACAAAAATTATCATCTTTGTTAGGAAAAGGCAGGAAAAGCACCTAAGACACTGWCAAACCCAGCAGCTCTGAAGTCTTCCATAAAGCATGGATGTGGTTATTCTGTATTTAATTCAAGTGGTGAGATYTTTCACAAGATGTTAACATCCTTCTATCTCTAAGGATAACCAGGCAAGATTTGTAAAACCARACTAAAAACTGCACTTCCATGTCCTATGTGGCCTCACAGCAGCATTTTCTCCAGGTCTGAGCCTGAGACATCCCAATTAAACAGATGGATTCACTGCATCAAATACACATTGGCTTTGGCTAATAAGGACCTCATGCTCAAAGAAGAGTCATCTCCACAAGACCGTCTTGGAAAGTGCTTAAAAGTCACGTGAAACTCAGATTTTGTCTACTTCTCTTGATGTCCCCTTCTTGAAGCAGGTATCAGCTCAACTGCTTTATAAACTACCCTACTTGGTTTATTCACTCTTTTAACTTTATTGTGACTAGAACCATCTTTAGCTATGTGAGCTTATTTTTTCATAGAAATTAAAATACTTTCTTTTCTAAGGCTGCACAAGATGGAACTTTAAGACTCCCCACACCTCAGCTTTGTTCCACTGATAATGGAGACGGTCCTGCCAGGACCACACCTGGGCAGACCTGTGCTTACTTACGCTTGAAACCCAAACAGCACTGAGAGAAGTTATTAAAAGGCACCTTCATAACTGGGTATCTTAATTCCTTACAAATGCTCATTCATGTTTTATGTGAGCAAAGTTTTGAAGGATGCATGACTATCTCAGGTAGGGAAGAGGCTCCCTGGCGATGCCTACAGATGCTACGGAGTCTGGATGAGGCAGAGCTGCCTGCAGAGGTGCCAAGCTCTGGGTTTGGTGTCTCTCGGCCTCCTCAGCAAAGCCAGGTTCTCAGGTGCCCCCAGCTCTCTGCTGCATTCGCATGACTGAAGGGAATATTTGAGCACAGGCAACGATTGCCCCATTCCCTGCACCAATTCTCTGTTGTCTGGGTGCTAAAAGAAGCTTGTGGAGGAGATGAGAGGTTTCCTTATGCAACCAATGAGGTCAATGGAATAAAAGAAGGCATTTTATTAGCCCATAAAGGTTTAAAATGGAAAGAGTCCCTCGGGTGTGAGACACGTTTCATGCTGTGTRGGGATAACAATACCCTAATAATCACAAGTGAGTAAAATAATTACAGTCAATGAAGAAGTTTCGCATGAAAAAAAAACCCTTCCACGTCCAACGAGGATGAGATTGTCTAAGATTTTCCAAGTAGTTTAAGAGACAGTATAAAAACACACACCTCCTTGCTTCAATACAGACCTCTTCTTACCCTCTGGTGTGAGCTTGGTAAGTTACTGGACTATTTCTTCTAATTATTGAAATATCCTTTTGCTGTATTTTGAATTTACATCTGAGTCTTGGAGAAATACTCTGACATTAAGAAATAAGGTGATGGTTCCCTGAAAGAAAAGAAAAAAAAGATCTTTACTGGCCTTTTTTTTTAATGTAAGTTTACATGCAGGCATTTGAAGCAAGTCAGAGATTTACCTCCACATTTGCAGATGTGAACGTGGAATATGTTTATCTGGTAATTTAGTGATCCAGACCTTTAATCTGCTTCGCAAACCCTGCTTTCCAGCTTCCTCCTGGTTTAGAGATCACTTATTTTAGCAGCTTCGGAGTTATTGTCGTTCTGGGAGCAGCTAAACTTTACCCTGCGAGACAGAGAACCTGCAACAGATGCTATGACACCACTGAGGCCTACTTCTATACAGAACAAAAAGCTTGGCTTTTATATATACATATTTAACCTTTCTATATACAATCCGTGGTGTCTTGCAGTTTTTCCTTGCACGAGCTAGAATTGCCTGCTTTAGAAGTCTAATTATTTCAGTGAGGTAATTGCAGCCCAGTGGTGCCTGGCGAGTCCCATGTCTGTAAGCAGGTGACAGCAGTCACCTYCTTTGAAGAGCAGCTGTGCTGCTCCCGAGCTTAGCTCTCTGAATAATCCTGTATGTGTAAGCAAGTCCCGGGGAGTGCAGACGCCCAGGACTTGGGAACGCTGAACGAGGCCGATCTGCAGGGAGATTTTGTGTTTTAATTAGGCAACTCGTGGTCTCAGCACTTCTCCATGCTCAATCGCACGTCCTTGGCATGGGCACCTCACAGCTTCTTGGCAGGGCAGAAACGGCTCCAGCCGCTTCCCCTGCAGCTGGGACAGACCCTGCACGGTCCTACCGTTGTGTCCTGCATCCCCTCGGAGAGCCAAGCACCCACTGGGACCCTGCTGTCCCCAGCTAGAGCCACCTAGAACACCCAAGGGATGGGACAGTAACACAGAGCAGTAAAGCACAGCGGGTAAAGGTGGGGCAGACCACACAGCTGCATCCTCAGATGCAAGAAATCAGGGTTAGTTTCTTACTCATCGGCAGCTAGGTCAGGTTTTTAGAAGTTCTTCGGTCCCTAACAGCATGGACTGCTGTAAACATCAGGTGCTTAGACACAGCCACGCCACCCTGCCCATTAGAGAGATAACAAACCTCCAAATTGCAAATTTACCTGAGTAGAAAGGCAGGACTTTCATTTTTTTCACCTCCTGCCAGCAGAAAGTGACCATGGCTTCAACCCAAGTGTCTGGGCCAGCAGCTAAGGAATGGCCCTTGCTGGAGATGAGGGCCCCACAACCAACCCAGACCCCCTCGTTGAGCCCGGCC